TATCACTTGTAATTTAATTCACTTTTCGTCAATGACTATTGACACAAAGTTTATGGAATTAATCGGGGTTTTCTTAAATTATCTACGTTTTGTAAACTATAACGTTTCTTGTTAAGAGGGGGACTGGGACGAGAGAAAAATATGTAATAATTACGAAGGAATGGATCATTTCACAAATCCCCGATTAATTTAGCTTATTTGACAGTAAATGAAATATCATGGAAGGAAAACCCATTGTGGTCACATTCAGTAAACTGGTGTAATCTGCAAAGTCCAAATTTTGCATAATTATGGGCGTGGCTGGTCACGTGATCTAAAAAAAAGGGAGTGTTCAAGTTCCATACCGGTTTTGGTCTTAAACACAGCGGTCTAAGATTAAAATAAAGGAAGATACTGGAAAAAACAAGGTCAAGTCATAAAACCCCACATGTAACGAGGACCCATTCCTTAATTCAGCGGAGTTGACGAAACATTGTTTTCCCTTTGTTTATCAAGTGGGATTAATTAAGGTTTCTGAGAAACTGCCCACCTACTCCTCCCCTAAGCTAACATTAACACTTACTCCTCACTTCGGGCAAAATGATGGCTTAGGGGAGGGGTAGGTGGGTAGTTTCCCAGAAACCTTAATTGATCCATCAAGTGGGTTAGCATTAGGTAACATCGGCTGAAGTCAGATTGTTTCTTTCAGTAAAATTACATGAAGAACAACTTAAGTCCAACTTTACTGTGTAATATAAAATAAAATATAAAATATCCACTGTAATGCTTTGAACCCGGGTCACTTGCTTTGTAGCCTACATCCATATGATCCACTACACCATCGAGGACTAGCTGCCAAATTCAATAATTTTTAAAATATACATGTTCTTATGCCGTGCCCCATTACAATATTTGAAACCTAACCGTTTTCAGTTCAGTGCTTAACCCTAATCACTGCAGATCAGTGCTTAACTCTCTACTGTGTTCTCTCCATAACTGGCGCTCTGTAGTTTTAGTTTCTTTAGCTATTCTAGCCTCATTCTACACTCCAGTCTCGTTCCGTTAGGAAAATAATGCGTCGTGTAATATTCATAAGGTGTCCAATCTGGCTTCACTCGATGTTATTGAATGCTAACCCATCAAGTGAGCTGACTGAGTCACGTTTGCTGTGCATGAGTTTATAAGAGGAGTCACTGTGAGACGCAAACCGTTGATTGAATGTCCAGGTTGATTGGAATGCAGCGAGACGGGAGTGGGATCGTTGTGTTGATGGTGGGTTTATACCAAGTTGACCAGCTCTACGTACAATGTACGTAGCGTCACAATAAAACCCTGTCGCGTCTTATCATTTCTTATCATGTATTTGTATGTTAAAAAACTTAACACCATGTAAACTGTGATTTTTAACATCCTGTAAAGTAAGTAATGATGTGTATATTCCCAAAAAGCCACAACAACAAGAAGAGAAATGACTATTTCCACACCCGAATGAAAGTATTTATGCTTATCGGGATGGAAAAAATTATGATCGTGTAAACTCAAAATTTCGCTCCCCCTCCCTACTGGCGGTGCACACACGGAAAGGACTCCTCATCCCCTTCCTTATTTCTGCACGTCGCCCATTCGGCTTCTGCATCTTCCTATGCTTCCAAGCACGAACTTTCGTTTAAACAGTCTCTTCATTTTTAATATAAGAAGAGAAAGGAGTGTCATTGTTCACTGAATCAAGCTCTCCTTGAACGCCTGCTTACATCTTGAGCCTTTCTGAAAAAGCCTCTGCGTTCTTTATCCTAAATTATTTGAATAGAAACATTGGTTTTGAAGTCTCTCTTTTATGCCATAATCAATGCAAGGAAAAACATATGCCAGATTATGTGTCCCTACTCTCCTCAGAGAGACCACTCAAAATTCAGAGAGGGAGGTAACTTAATTTTGGCAAATGGTCGCTTAATAAACTACCCGAAAAATTTACTACCCAACTTTAAAACGATTCTAACTCACTGAGCCAAATGATTTAAACCAGACTTCATTCATCACAATCTATACTACTAGATTTATCTCAATAAGAAGCTTTTAAAAATACATAAAGAATGACAAGGAACACACTTACGCAAATTCAGATTCTACCAATATGGTTCAATAAAACAGCTATTTTAACGGTTCAAAAAGTTAATATTCACAAATTAATAAGAAGCAACCTCATGCAAAACCGAGTCCTTACTTAAAAATTATATTGAGTTATACTGTGATATATTCATTGACATAGGAATGATCCTTTACCAACAAAACTAAAGCTTCATATATAGGGCGACAAAAAAACTAATACCCTAAGAAAGAAATTGTGCTTCAGGAACAAATTCTATATAACTTAAATATTTTACCTGAAACTGAATATTTCAGCGACTATAGATCAGGAACCGCTAAGGCAAGGCTTGTCCTTAATAACTAAATGCTATTGAAAATGCTGGAATAACTTCTGACTTGTATACAATTCTAAACGGTGAGGCGCAGTTTATACACACGCCGCAAACATGATCACCAGCAACGTGTGCACACACAGTAACCAGGTGATCATTAGTAAAGGCATTTTGTTAGGATGGTTACAACTACAGGGTGACCAAACTGCCTCGGTGAATGTTACTTGTGTTCATCTCAGCGACGTATGTGTAAATTAGGGATTGAGAAATTTTGCTAGAATAGGGAGCTTCGGCAACAACGACGGCAACGGCAACGGCAGCGGCAACGAAAACGTCACTGAAAATTGAATTTCGCTGTTCCAAACTTCATCCCTCTCATTTTATTTCCGGCAACTTATCAAGCGTTGGGGAATCGTTCTGGAGTTGATTCTAAAGGATTGTATCTAAGTTCAGGAAAAAAAAAAGAGAAAATTGTCTTATATTCACGTCCTCCATAAAACGTGAAATTAGGCAGTTTCACGTCGTAGTCGTAAAACGACGGCAAAGAAATGTGCAAAAAAGTGTGATGCACGTGCAAAATTGTTGTCTTCCTTATCTAAAGCTGTTGCTTTTTTGCCGTTCTCGTTGCCGTCGCCCTCATCGTGCATAAGCTCCCTAATACTAAGAGCGACTGCAGGCAATGTGATCTTTAAACAACTAAATCCAATTAGAATAGAATAGAGTGAATAAAATAAATAAGAAGATTTTCACATTACCTAAGGTCGGGGACTGTATATGATTATTTTCAGACAAAAAATTTCCGTCACAATAGCATTGATGAACTGCAAACATGTGACTAAAAGGACGCGTTCAGTTTATATGGAGAGAGACGTTTGTTGCCTACAACACAGCAAATAAGGTGGCAAATGAAAGGTGCAGTTGCTTGATTCAAATGACATGAATTTGGTTAAGTCGAGTTTGGAAATTAAACATTACAGAGTAATTAGACAACTTAGCATCCTTCATGTGGAATAAGACTAACATAGTGAAGCTCATTCACGTGACCCAGCACAAGCTGGTTGGTACCAGTAACATCATACTCTGGGCAGATCATTACGTCATGGTGATGCGGCAGACTGCTGATCACGTGGATGCAAGTTTCAAAGCAGTTTGCAGCACCACGGAGAACCACGTGATCACCCCATGTACCATCTCCCACCATGTTTGTGAGGTAAGCGTTCCAAGATGAATATCCATCAACAAAGTGGAAGAGATCTATCTCATCCGGCTTTAAGAGGAAAAATGCTGTAGTTACTAGAAAAACGACAAAGTCTGGATTTCTAGACGGTTCTTATTCAGGAAACTACGCAGTCAGCTCTCTCAACCACAGACTCCTGGGGGGGGGGGGGTACTCCACAATTTTATCCGGGGACGTTCCGCCCCGAGGTCCAACCCCTTAACCTTTTATATACCATTTTTGACGGAAAAGGTACCTCTTTCGTGTACCTTGTACATTGACGAATGTTACCCCTTTGACATACCTACTGTAGTTTAGATCTTTGCATCCCTTTTAAAAGGGATGCAAAGTTGAAACTGCTGTAAATGCACCATCTTTTTTTATGAATAAATCACTAAACCAGGAAGTTTTCTTGTCTCTTTTACATCCATAAAATGCGTCTGTTAGCCCTTTTTAGTCCTTTTACAGACCCAGATGACAGATTTCCTTACCCTTTTATATACTTCAACCAATTAAGTCCCTACCCTTTCATAAACCTGAAGCCTGAAAAAGATACCCGTTTTGTGCGGAACCTCCCCGTATAGGCCATAATAGGGAGTACTCCCCTGGGTCACAGACACCGTTAGTAGTCGTACACTAAAATAAGTGTACGCCTTATAAAGTTTCAAACAAAATAAATAAAGAACGATGAGGTCAAACTCTATATGTCCGTTAGCCTCTTAGTCAAGCGTTTAGATAATGTGGATGACGCAAAAGAGAAGTGAGCAGGAAAAAAGCTACCGTATAAAGCTTAATATAGCGTTTTCACATGACGTCACGGCGGCCATATTGTTCCAAAAAAAGAAGCGGCGGCCATGTTGGTGTTCCAAACCAATCCTGTGGGAGTTGAACTCTTTTCTTATATAAACGCTTTCTTTTTTCCAATAAATTGGCGTAGATGCTCGCCATGTGAGTGAAAACGCTCTATGGGAGAAAGAACACTGGTCCAAAGAAGAACTAACAGACCATTTTAAATTAATTACAGTGGTTTCAACAGAACAAAATGAGAATGACTCAAATCCCACGGCTATTTCTTCAAAACCAGCTAGCGCTGATCAAAATTTGGAAAACGTTTGCGGTCGCCAGAAAAAGGGACGGCAACTGAGAAGCCCTGGGGATGAAGTTGAAGAAAGAAACTTAACATCGACCGAGGTATGCAGGTTTTTAAAGAATGAATTATTTCAAATGAATAAAAAAACAATTATTGGATTCGGCTTTCGAATGATCTGCAAAATTATTCAGATCTCGTAGGGTGTTATCCGCATCGGCCAGCATCCTCCACGATCTACAAAATTTTTCAGATCATACTCAGCCTCATCCTCAATTTGCTCATTTAAATTATCGTTACTTTACTTTGGGTAAGAATTTGATTTCTTACCATAAACCATCTTCCACATCGTGTCAACAAGGGATTTGCACTGTCTCTCCCAACTGAATCTCTCTTCATAACTTCTTCGAAGTCTTTGGATTTCCTCAAGGCGCTGTGCCCTAGACTTTTGATGTATAGCTGCTATTGCCTTTGCCCATTCCTTGGGGTCATCCGAATCAATCACAAATGTCATACCCATTGGAAGACAACGCAGTGCTTCTCCAAATCCAGAGTTTCCACTTACCAGAATGGGAAGACCGGCTGACATGGCTTCCAGTGCTGTCAAACCAAATCCCTCAGTTCTTGAAGGCATGATGGCCACATCAGCTTCACAAAACAACTCTTTTAATCTTTGTTTGTCTTTCAAGAATGATCTGACAAACAACTGGTTTCTTGGAATGCCCGTCTGGCATAAGATTTCCGCGACTTTATCCTGCTTTCCATCAGGTGAACCAACAAAGATCAGACGGTAAGAACTGTCCTTCAATTCAACTATTGCTTGAGCGGCAATGTCGTATCCTTTGAGACTGAAGTCTTCAAAATCACCACGGCCAAAGGTTAACACCTTGAACTTCGCACTCGCTCGCGTAGTAGCATGCTCAACATCTGAAAACTCTTTAAAGGTGCCTGGCATCAGCTGGAAGACATCTTGATGAGTTGAACGCAAGTAGGACGAGAATGCTTCTGTCAACTTGGGCCCAACTGCCACAACGAGATCTGCAAGTTGACACAGCTCAACTTCAGCTCTATTCTTTCCTTCTCCCTTGGTAATTGCGCCAGGATAGTTCTTATACATTGCTAGCTCTTCAGGTTCGGTGTGCACTACCTGAACCCACTTGCAACAATGAGACTCTTGGATGATTTGAGCTTGCTTACCCAGCTTTGCACCATGACCAATCACGACTTGAATGTCAAGGTCTCTTGGTGGAAAGCTCAGCCAATCAAGAGGATCACTAAAGCCAGGGCGACGATGTACTTCCATGATGGAAATGTTATGAGCCTTGGCGGCTCTCTTGTCATCTTCACCGCACTCAAATTGAGGTACAATGATAGTGACTTCTACGTTTGGGAGTTTTGCCAAATGTATGGCAAGCGTTCTGTTGATTGTTGACAAGCCACCCTTAGATGACCCCCACTCATCAGCCAGGAGGGAAACTTTTAAAATTGAAGGCTGTGCATGACTTTGTGTTATACCAGAAAAGCCTGACTGCCATTCCTGAAAGCAAACCAACATTGCATATTCAAAATAGCACTTTTATATAGGGTGCCGTCTAGAAAGAGTTTGAGCCAACATTTGTAAAACCTGATTCCATCAAATTAAAGATGATGTCAACTTATATATTAAGTAGCAAAACAAAACCATGTTGTGTGGAAGAAAGGCGCACACCGCAATACATACGGTATACGCGTTAATTAAAGACGTTCAACGTACCTGAATATGGCAAGAATTGAATGTGTATGAGTCACCTCACCGTAAAACTAAGGTAAACGTGAACAAAAACCTTAACTTTAAGCTCTAATCCTCACCCTAATCCCAACTCAAACCCTAACCCTAACTCATACCGAGTTTGTTGTTGGTTCTCTCCATAACCAGTTGAGTTTGTGGCTGGTTCTCTCCCTTACTCCGAGAGGTTTGGTTTTCCTCTGTCCTTAAAAATCAACACTTCCAAATTCCAATTCGATCAGGAACGCAAGGAAACGTTTCAACTAGTTCTTGTGAACTCCTAAGAGCTCCGTGGGTAAACAAATTACAATTACAATAACTCACTGACTCATAAGACTGACAAAACAAGGTTTCTTGATGTCGAATATGGCATATCCTGGTGCTTTAACAACGAAACGCACTTACTCGTCTTTGCTCAATTATGAGCCATTATGAGCCTTTGCCCCAGTTCCTAATTCTTCGAGACATTCAGGCCTTTAGTGAACGAAGAGAGAACCTGTGAGGGATATTACGGGAATTTTCCAAAGAACGGAAAAGTTTAGCAGGAGCTCTTTACAAGTAAGAAAAACGGATAAACCGAGACAAAGAGTGTTCATGCCTAAACTGGAAAAAAAGTCTTCACAACTGTTGCCATCGTGTCATCACCACGTTAGACTCGCAGTTTTAAAAAGGTTTCCCGCCTTCAGAAACTTTTCGGACAAACTTTATGTAAGTAATATAAAAAAAGAAAAGAAGAAGCAGAAACGAAAAGTAGCTTTTGTGACTTGGAAAATGCCTTGACTGGCACAAATCCTCCAACAATCACGCGATAGGAGGCAAGTGTCACTTGAAATAGCAAGATTTCAAGATTTACAACGACCACTACAATTTGAGTAAATTTTTTGATTGCTTGGATAGACTAATATTCTACAAGGCTTTCAAAAAGGAGTGCACTAGAGCTCTAAGTAACAGTGCTAGCCTGCGCCTAGGTTGAGCCTCAATCTACCACTATTTCCTTCGTTTTCTAAAGCATTTTTCAAATTATTTATCGTATTTTGGTATCTACGGTTTTTACATTATTTTATACCCTTATGTTTTTTAATAGTTTTCTAGTTATTATGGCAGATGTAGAGCTGCCCTCTGGATATACTCCAATAAATCATCATCATCACCATCGTCATTGTCATTGCCACTCTATGGAAGGCTAATGTCTGTAAAATGTTTTAGGGCCTGTTTACGTGGAGGTGGGGGACCCCAGATAGGTGAGGTAACATGTGGTGGGTCACCCCACCTATCATGTAAACGTGATCAAATTAAAATGAGAGATTATATGGACAGGCAGGTTACCCCACCAAAGCGGGTTACCTCACCTACCTGGGATCCCCCACCTCCATGTAAATAGGTCTTAAGCCGATAGTAGTAATACTAACCGCGCGTGGAATTTTCTGGATGGGCAAGTGAAATTTACACAATAGACTTGTTCTTCCTGTAGGTGTCAAGGTGTTATGGAACTCTACTTCTGCTAGGTCTTCGTCTTTAACGACACGAACTCGCAATTCAGTCTTGAACTCAAGATTGTCTTCTTCTAATAATCTGTTCAAATGTAAAACAAAAATATCCATGCTGTAATAACGGTTCCTTTACGGTAAGCTTAATTTTAAAAAAAGACAAAGGCCTTACTTATTCAATTTGCATTTTTTCCTTTCCACGCTGGGATGACTTCGGAATCAACTAGATAGGTAAAAAACAGGCTGCAAACATTTTACGCCCTACTGGCGTCCCACAGTTACGTCGTTAAAAACTGAGAGACATCGTCTTTATGTGTAATATTGCACCAGCGCGTGTATCACCCATACGTTACACGTGGTATTAAAAAAGAAAATCCTCAAAGAAGTGCTGCCGAAGTCAAAAGGATGCTTTTAAGCATTTTAAAACCACCGATTCGCATGACTATTCAATAGGCCATTTCCGAGTTCCCCCGGGCGTCTGTTTCAAAACGAGGGTAGGTGCTCAGCCTTTGATGTGGAAATCATTTTTCTTTCTCATGCAAATAAAACTCATTTTCACAAGAAAGGTTGTGCACCTAGCCTCATTTTGAAAATGAGAGTTTTTGGAACTCGGAAGTGGCCTATTGCAAAGAGGTTCTACTTAGGGGTGGGGTGAGGGGCGAAATTTGTGCAGGCTCTCCACGTTCTTGAATTGGTATGTGATGTATTTATACAAAGTGCTTACCTGAGGCAAACATCCACGTCCTCATCATTGAATGGAGATATTCCCCCCGATACAAAAACAAATGCCTTGTCCTCTCCTGGTATCATATCTTGCTTTGAACTGCCATCAGCGTATGTCAAGTCTCTATTTTCAAGATCCTGTATCACCGTATGTGTAAGATGTGTATGACAACATATAAGGCGCAAAATGTCTGGAATATCCGGACGAAAGTAAGCGAAGAAACTTGCTGGTCTGCGCCGCTTCCTTAAGAATCGGGTCATGTAACTAATAATTCCAAGTCTTTCAACACTGGAGTTTTCTTGACGCCAGTCAAGAAGATAGGTATATCTGGAAAAACCAAAAATTAAAAAGTGAGAACCAGGTTGAAGGGAGTTGCTTTGAAGCTTGAAACTAGAAAGAGCTTATCTCAACGTGTTAAAAAAGCCAGTTAGCACTTCGTTCATGAGTCATCAACCTTTTTTCCACAACTAGAATGAGAAGACTTGGAGAAAGTAGGCGCGCGCTGTCGAATTCTCGAAAAAAAGAGAAAACGCTTAGGGACAGGCGAACGCAAACCTTATCCAACAGCATCCAACACCATAAAACAGATCTTACATGCCGTGTCCAATAATGTTGGATGAAGTTGGACCAACACTTACCATTGTTGGATCCGTTAAAGCGTGGCTCAACTGTCCATCTATTCTAAGTAACTAAATGATTTTTTAAGCTTCGTTACCCAGAAAATCGTTGAACCTGGATCCAAACAAAATTTCCGTCAAACTGTGCAGGTTTCACCAGATCAGTGAGTTCAACCCATTCCTTTTTACTCTCTTCGCAATTCAGGAACAAGACTCTAACACTGCATGTAGTGGGATCTGGTTTAAAGTCCAGCCGGTCTCGAAGAGAAACTGGTAGTTGAATTGTTACAGGCCTAAAGAACTGGGCAGCCCCAAAGCATTTAATTCGCAGAATAGGTCCAAGAAATACACCTTCCTTTTCACATTCTTCATTTAGAACTTCTTGTACCTGTACCATTTGAAAGAGTAAGCAGTTAATTTCATGTATTCTGTTAGGCTTTAAAATTGCCATGGGTTCCCTATACGTTAAATAACAACATAATTCAAGTAACAAAAAGATCTCTCCAATATTCAGTAGACGATTTTTCAGTCAAGTCCCACTAAACTGGTCAATATTAGATCATCATGTTTATGAAACCGTTGCACTCTAAAAAGCCTTGGGGCTTATTTTATTTGCCTGCATATCAACACTTATCTTTATATAATAAAAAATGGACCTTTTTAGTCACACCAACCTTTAACTCCAGGGTAAACGGTGACTCAGGTGCAACAGCATTCTCAGGGATTGTAACCGTCACTCCTGGATAATCAGGATGACTGAATAAACCGCCAGTAGATGTGATGGTGAAAGTCGGGGAAGATTTGAGGGGACTGGGACTGGAGGGGACTGGGACTGGTAACATGGGAGAGTAAACGTGTTTCGCCGAGCTCCCTGAATCGCCGTGGAAAATTTATAGTTTTTTAATGCTGGGCAAACGCAAAAACCGGTCAAAAGCTTCCAAAGATTCTTTGCCATCTCCAGATGAAAAAAAATCGAAAGACGAGGGAAAGGCACACTCAACTGCATCGGAGACTGACGAAGTGTTCGAAGCTTTAGAAATGGCGGAAGGTGTAGGGTCGAAGCTTGAAGCTGTACTTAAGAAGTTAGAAAAGCTTGATACTATTGAAAGCCGCTTGAGTCAGATGCACACAACACTAGCAAGTATTGAAGAAAATGTAAGCAGGCTGGACTCGGATGTCGAAGATCTCAAAACAAAGTCCAAACAGCTTGGCTCAACAGTCAATGAACTGAAAGAAAGCATCGAATTTAATGAGGAGGACATATCCGACTTAAAACTTGAAAACCAAAAGTTACAACAGGATGTCTGCGAGCTCCAGAAACAACTTCTTTACATGGAGACTTACTCAAGGAGGGAAAATGTAAAATTTGTGGGGCTGCTAGAAGAGCAAGTTGACAACATGAATGGTGGTGACGAAGATCACAATGGCGCGCAAGCAAAAATAGAAGATACAAGAGGGATTATCTATAAATTTCTCGAACATCAACTAAAGATTCCAAATGCGCGACAAAAAATTGAATTCCAAAGGCTTCACCGCTTAGGAAAATCGAAAAATGGAAGCTCGCGTCCTATCATTGCACGATTTTTACGTTATGGGGATAAGGAACTAGTGATGGATCAGGCCCGGAAACATCTGAAGGACACGGAATTCCATGTCTACGATGACATCCCAAAATTATTGTACGACTCAAGGAAAGGACAAATGAAGAAGTTGCAGAAGGCCAGAGAAAAAGGCTTTACCGCCTATTTCAGTAAAGCTCAGCCAGACAAACTGTATGTCAACGGAAAGTACATTGCCCCTGGTGAACCAATAGAGTGATATCCTTTTCAATAATAAGTTTTTCTCTGCGAATGCCAAATAATCTATTTGCAGCTACTTTTCCACTTATTTAACGCTTTTTTTTTCAACCTTTTATTTATAACGATGTCAGGGAGTTCTATTTATAGGAACATCGATCGGGCTATTACCAAAAGCGACGGAACCCAAAAGGATTTATTACTGTAATATGTGTCTGTATCTGTGTTTATGTTCTTCTGTGTGTTATTATCCGTCCTTTTCATGTACCTTGTACAATTTGCAAATATCTAGGCCTAGTTATAATGCTAAATTATATAGCTGCTCTCTTGACACTCTCAACAAAGGATTTCCTTTCTCACCTTTTCACCATGGAACCTGATGATATGGTAATTTGCTCCCTAAACGTCAAAGGTTTGTCAAACAAACTAAACAGAGAGAAACGTTTTTATGGTTAAAGAAAAAAAGTTCTGTATTTACTTTTTGCCAGAGGTGCATACAGTGTAGCACAAATGAGACAGAATCTTATTGGCATTCTGAATGGGGATATTCAACTATTTTTACAACCTTCTCAAGCTCTAGGGCAGGTGTTGCTATACTGTTCAACAACAATTTTCAATTTTAAATTCTGAAACATTTTGCTGACCCCGAAGGGAGGTTTATTATTGCAGACATAGATACTGGGCACAAAATTATGAAACTAGTAAACGTCTACGCGCCTAACGAGGACAATCCAGCCTCTTTTAGAAACGTGTGTGACAAGCTGTGCTCCTTTGAATGTGATTTTGTAGTCTTTGGTGGCAACTTCAATTAAGTTTGTGATGGTTCTAAAGACAAAAAAGGGGGTGTTGCCACGACACACTTGAAATCTACAGATGAAGTAGAGGCTATCAGAGACGATCTGAACTGGCTGATCTTTGGTGCGTACTAAACCCTGAGGCCACGCGTTTTACGTGGAGAAGGGAAAACCCTGAGATCCAATGCCAATTAGATTTCTTCCTCATTAGTTTTTCTTTTTGCCCAGAGATCACGGAAGCCGACAAAGTGCCTGGTTATCAAACAGACCACTCAATGATTACATTTCGCATAAGCACAGCCCAAAACCCCAGAGGACCAGGTTATTGGAAATTAAACACACACCACCAAACTGAAACCCAATACACTGAGTTGATACAAACAACTATCACTGATTTGTGTAAGGAATATGAAGGCCAGAGTGAAGTTGACGAGATTTTATTATTGGACGTCATCAAAATGAAAATTAGAGAAGCCTCTTTAAATTATGCCGCAGCCAGGAAACGGCGTCTGGAAAATAGAGAAAATCAGTTAGAAGAAGAAGTTTTAGCACTCGAGAATAAGCTTGACGAACGTAATGTATCAGACATAGTGAAAGAAAACATACGGACTGAACTCAGAATTAAGAAACAGCTAATAGAAGAAATAATCGCCTACAAAACTCAAGGGGCTATTCTTAGATCAAAAGTGAAATGGTATAATGAAGGAGAAAAGAATACAAAATATTTCCATAATCTGGAGAAGCGGCACTTTAATAATAAAACCATTAGGTACCTCCAAAGCGCAAATGGAAAGAAGTTTTCGACGGACGAAGAGATTCTAGACGAAGCAAAAACTACTATGAGCATCTTTACACGACTACAAGTGTTGATGTCAGTGATTATGATAATCTTTTTTTCCCTGAGGTTACTGAAACAAAGCTAGGTAATAATCAAAAAGAATCTTGCGAAGGCCTACTGTCAGCAACGGAATGCTTAGAGAGTCTAAAAACAATGGAATCGGGTAAATCGCCTGGGACGGACGGTTTTCCAGCAGAATTTTATAAAGTTTTTTGGGACGATTTGTCTACATTTTTACTCGCCGCTTTAAACTCGTCTTTTACCCAGGGTCACCTTTCCATCTCGCAGCGCAGGGGATTGATAACCCTGATACCAAAGAAAGACAAACCGCTACAGCATCTAAAAAACTGGAGACCTATAAGCCTTTTAAACTGCGACTACAAAATTGCAACAAAAGCAATTGCAGCAAGAATAAAAAAAGTGTTACCTGATTTGATAAACAATGATCAAACGGGCTTCCTCAAAGGTAGATCAATTGGTGAAAATGTTAGGTTAATAGACAGTATAATAACTTACGCTGAAAGCCAGAACATCCCTGGCATTTTACTTTTTATAGATTTTGAGAAAGCCTTCGATACTTTGGAATGGAACTTTATTGAAAAAACTCTCCGCTATTATAACTTTGGTGACTCCTTGATTACCTGGGTTAAATTATTCTATAATGATATAAGCAGCTGCATTCAAAATAACGGTTGGTCTTCCGCCTTTTTCAATCTTACTAGAGGTGTCAGACAAGGTTGTCCTTTATCCCCGTATTTATTCATTTTATGTGTTGAAATACTAGGAAATGCCATAAGAAACCACGATCAAATCAAAGGCATTTGTGTTTTAGGCACAGAATGTAAACTAAGTCAATACGCAGATGATACAACCTTGATCCTAGATGGCTCAGACAACTCAGTTCACCAGTCTTTTAGTCTTTTAGATTCTTTCGCAACTATCTCTGGCTTACGAATCAATTACGAAAAAACAGAGGCTCTTTGGATTGGCTCTTCGCGTTTGCAAAGAAGAGTAATCCCGGGTTTTCAACATATTATGTGGCCTGTTAATAAAGTTAAAGCCTTAGGGGTCTGGTTCTCTACAACTAAAGGCGAATCTCTAACACTGAACTATGAAGAAAAAAAGGAAAAGATTTGTAGGTTAGTTGATATTTGTAAAAACCATTGTCCACAAATGAACGGTGCTAAAACCGACACCAGAAGCCTATTATCCTCTGAAGCTTTCTGTAAATTAGCTTACAAATCTTTTCTAACTCAAACCGCCTCTATCCCTTGTAAAAGTCAGGAAAAATGGCTGACAGACTGCAACTTTTGTGACTTTGACACGATTGATTGGGGTAAGTCATATACCCTTGCTTTCCTATGTACCAACGAATCTAAATTACGTGTATTTCAATTTAAACTTCTGCATAGAAAATTGGCGACGAACTATTTCCTTTTTAAAATTGGAATCAAATCTAATGATCAATGCAGTTTCTGTAAAGAAAGCTCGGAAACTCTTTTGCACCTCTTTTGGGAATGCCCTTTCGTTAAATCTTTTTGGAATGAAATCAGTAACTGGATGAAAAAAAGCTCTTGCTTTCTTAACGAAGAATTCTCCTTTTTGACTTGCATAGGCCTCGTGAACGATACTACAAACCTGCTTTTCCATCATGCACTTTTAATCGCGAGGTATCACATCTATTTCTCCAACCAAAAAGGTTTTAACCCTTCATGGGAACTCTTTTTTCGAACCTTTCTAAATTGTCTTGATTATGAAAGACGTTATGCAATTAAAACTGGGACTTTAAGAAATTTCAATGCAAAATGGGGAGCGTTTATCCAGGAAAATGATCTTTAGTCTTATTTCCTTTGTCGAGATGTACGGAGAACAGCAATCGCGCTAACTCTCTAGAGGCTCTTTCAGGACGTTTCTAGGCGGATAATCAGTAATCGTGCGTGGTGCGTGTGTGTGCGTGTGTGGGTGTGCGCGTGAGTATGCAAAAACTACTTAAGTAACTTTCGCTACTCTGTATTATATATCTGGACTGTTAAGTAATTACTGTATAGTAGCAATGTAATCATGTATCTATATGCTTTATATGTAAGTAATGTAAATAAGTGACGCAAATAAATAAATTAATTAATTTAAAAAAAAAAAAAAAAAAAAAAAAAAAAAAAAAAGATTTGAGACGGCAAACCACTGCATATGTTGAGCACTCAGTTATATCAGCTTGAGCAACGGGAAAGAAAATGTCTCGTATTTCCTTGTGAGACGGGTGCTCATCTTCGATATCTGTTACCGATAAAAGATACAAGTAAAATATGACTATCACATGCACTTTCTTTGACGTCCTTTGCCAACTAAAAAAAACAAAAAGACTGACGTCATAGAAATCAAGACTGGAATCAAGCTTCAGATCGAGAGCGCAAGCGCAACTGCAACACTTAACAACACTATCTTTAAAAAAGAAAAGAAACCTTTAGCAATACAGAAGACGTACACCGCATCCTGCTTACAGAAACAGGATCTGCGAAACGGTTCTCTATAGTTGCCATAAGTCTGCTACATAGAGAACATTTCCATACCTTGGCGACAGCGTAAGTCCTTGGTTCCACTCACGTCTTCCCATTCATTGGTCTCCATGTTTATCTGCCTTTTTATCACCACTTCGTAGCCACGTAGGTCCGGTGCGCTGTGAGAAAGCGACAAAGTCACCATGGTATTGAATTGCAGGCGTTGGCCATCGTGGGAAGATAGTTCAATAACATTGCTGACAATAGCCTCGTGTTCCTGTAGGGGGGGTGAGCAGACACTGGATTTCCATCTGTAGACCACTATTGACGTAGGCTCAGACACAGCATTTGGATGGAATATAAGATGGACAGCCCCTAGTTTGAAGGCCCAGCAGGTACCTTCACTGGTCACTATTTTTCTGCAATGAGCCAAAATTTTAATAGTCGGTTGTTTTCAAAACACAGTTTTCACTAGTTCAATGTTCGAGTAAAATCTACAATAAAGGGAGAATATAATATGTGAAGCTTTTTGGGGGATAGCGGACAGAGACTGGACAATAATGTTTTTTTTTTCAATGATAGTCTTCTTTATGACGATTTCGTCGTACTAGAATATAAATATAATATAATGTTAACTATATTATTTAACATCAACTCTTAGCTGCTTTTATCCTCCAAAATTAGGATACCCTATCCTTAGCGTTGAGTAAAGAAACTAAACAAAGTCTGTCGTTGTCGGATTTCAAACAATATTCTATTGCGAAAACAGAACCTTAACTAAATTTTGACTGCGACGCTCAGTCGGATGCTCGTCTACGGTGTATAATATATTATGCTTACCGTTACGGTGAGCGAAACACTTTTCCATGGGGTATTCGATGCATGTGACTAGTCAGATAATTGTTTTAATTAAAAAATTAAGCATTGTGAAAAGAATGTAATTGTAATCCTAATGGGTCTCGCACACGCTGGAAATTCAAAACGCCGGGTAAAATATAGACTTTTTGCCTTTTACGCAAAACTTATGTTGTAGATGTAGAGTGCACACGGTGCACTCAACCCGTGCAAAGGAATAAAAGACCTTAAAAACATTAGGCCCCGTCCACATGTATCCAAGCCTGCGAGAGCAAACGCCTTTTTCGGTTCTTTGAAAAAAGCATCTTTTTTTCGTGGAATTAGTCTTCCGGCTACAGATATAACTCGTATCAGAATTAAACACGCACTAAAACGCAACTTTTAAACTAACGCTCTCCGGAGAGGAATAGCCTGTGTACATACGTCCCCCCTCCCTCAGGAAAAATCGGGAGAGGAGACGTCTGTGAATCGCCGACGATAATCGTGTTCCCGTTTCCCCGGAATGTTGGGGACAGCCTCTGATTGGTTGTAATGTTAATGCCATGACGCAAATAATTTCCGGTGTTGTGATTGGTGAATGAACCTCAGAATAGATTCCCCGGGGGAAAGCTCAGCCTTTGTGGACATTCATATTTGTTTACCGGTATTTGTATTCCGGCTCTCTCGAAAAGGCATGAGAAGTTAATACCAACGATGTTTTGCTGCACCAGTTGTGGATGCGTCTGTCTGTACCGGTCGGTATTGTAAATAAAAGAGGAGGCATACAAAATCCAACGTTAAAAGCCAAGGCAGGTCAAGCTTACCCCAAAAAGATTCTATTAATGAATTGATCATTTGAAAAAATGAATCGTTAGTCGTTCCCGTAACTGGTGTCAAATTTAAATCGGCATTCCTGTACGCGTAATGAGCAGTGAATATTTTAAGAGAACTTCTCTGCATTTGGTCAGATTGAAAATCTTTGAATGGATTAAATGTCTTAGAAGACATTTACATCAAATTCAGGGAAACTGAGCTGGTAGAAATTTCGTAACTAAATCGCGTGTAAATTCACGGCTCATTACGCATGCAAAAATGCACTCAGAGATGAATCTGAAATCTACAACTACCAACGGTTCAACTTAATTTCGAATAATAAATACATTAATGGATCTTGGCCAGGGAGGTACGCTTGACCTGGCTTGACTGTAATCAGAGATCTTATATCTGGATTTTTGGGTGGACATTGCGTGAAGATGTTCGTCTAGCCTGTGCACAGACGCCAGAGCTATTTTTCGACCTACCTGTTTCTTTTCAACTGTCAGCGAAAGAACAAAAAATAATTTATGCAAATTTATACCTGAACACGATTATCGACGGCGATTCACAGACGTCTCCTCTCCCGATTTTTCCTGAGGGAGTGGGGACGTCTGTACACAGGCTAGAGAGGAAAGGTCGATTTCCCCGATCACTGGTGTGCGGAAGGATGAAAAAGGAAAGATATCGAAAACAAGACGTCTCGGTATCTGATCTCGTGAAGAACAAGAATGTTTCACTGCCACTTTCCTTTTTGTTAATAAGTGTAGCCTATCTAAGTCAATTTCTCTCTTTTTGGGTAAAATGTTCAAGCTTGTTATCCATAGGCCTTCTTTTATCACCAGTTTTGAAAATCGACGCGTTAAAAAGGACTCGGAACAGCTGGAGATCCATGATAGCCGATCTCCTACTAGTAGATGGCAAATGATGATGATGAAAAACGACTCAGCAGAAGTCGACGAACGCGTCAGAGGTACCTTTACACAAATGTACTTTGTACGTAACTTTTAGCTACTTTTCGCTTCCGTTGCCGTCATTGGAGGTTCAATGAATGTTTATTCAAACAGTACTTACTCTGTAATGACACTTCTGCTTTCGCCGACATACGTATTGTCTTCAACTTCGGTTTCATCTTCAGGCTCTTCTACAGCCTCTTCTTTACAGGCTTTCACAGGTAACACCGTCTCAACCACTTCTTTATCTGTGCCAGCTTTCGAAAGCATTCCAGTTTCAGACATACTCATTACTCCTTGCGGAAAATAAGATGCAATGATAAGATAAATTAGGATAAACCTGAATATGTCTGTATGTCTACGTATACAGCATCCCAGAAAGCTTTGTATGCCCACACAAAAAACTGTTCTGTTTTATTAAAAGTGGAAATCAGTGAATTCGACATCAATGGAACAAACAGCCTGCGTGCAGACGTGTCCTCTTTCCTTTGTTACACGCGGAAAAGTATCCACATTCGAGCATCCACGTAAATTGAAATCCGGAGTACCCCGTCCCCTTGACAACTGGGTGCCACAGAAGGAGTTGTTAGATTCAAAATAACCCAGCTTGCATCTGCTCACTTAAGGCAGTAAACCTAACTACAATGGTAATCAGACATTTGTACGTTACGTCAGCCCAAAATTAGAAGTGGCTTTCATATGATGTGAAGAATTGTGCAGATCTCGGAGGCTGTTATCCACCTAACATCCTCGTCGATCTGCAAAATTCTTCACATCATACTCACCCTCATTCAATAATCAGGGGCACCCAATGACTGTTTTCCGTAAAATATCTGTTTGGGGAAGCAAAAATGCCTTAAATTTTCTGTAGCTTAAGGATGGAAAGGCTAAAAATTTCTAGATGACCACTCCATTCATTTACAATTTTCGAAGCGGCTTATCGAATAAATTTCCTACGATATTCTAAAGTTTAATTCACTCATTTCACTCCCCTGGTTAAGCAATTTTTCGTAGAAAAACGAAACCTAAAATCTTCGGATTCGAAAATATGATGGAGAGAAATTCTTACTTTCGTAAAACTTTAAATCGCACCTAAAATTGTCGGAAAAATAATACTGAAGCCCTTGTAATTTCGAAAAGACTTAAGTTGCCCTAGGATGACCGAACTAGCCTGCGTAGCAGGCGTCGAAAAAGGTAGGGGATAGGGAGGAATGGAAAAAGGGAAGGAGGATTGAGGAGAGTTGGTAAGGGGCTTCCTCCCCTTTTCCCCGCTTTCGCGCTTTTCTCCCTCCCCCTCCCCTTTCTGCGCCTGCCACGCAGGCTAGACCGAACAGATTCAAATTCTGTAGCGCCGATTGCAATGCATAAAAGTTCTCTGGATAGCCTAGAAAGTGTTTTCACTGTATGTAGAAGGACTGAGCGTCGTTGGGTGCCCCTGAGTAATTGCTAAATGGTTCACTCGAAGTAGTCTCTTTTGCTGGAAAACATATTAGATCCTGCTAAGTTATCTGGGGACACTTATTTGCGTAAATTAACCGCTAACCACACGAGGCCTGTTTTGAACTGCAATAATCGTCATTCTACTCGATAACTGACTGTTGAAGCACAAACTGTTAATGGGCTCTCGCATAATATCGCCCCAATGACATTAAAAGAAAGATACACTGTTTTGTAACCGGTAACCGGGTTAGTAAGCGGGTTCCCCGTTAACCGGTGTGCAACAAACGCAGACTGTAGACTTGCAGACTTAGCAGGTAATCGAGGTAAACATTGTTGTGAAATGCTCTAACAGATTCCCTATCCCTAAACTAGACTTAAAGTTCCACAAAAATGTTTACCTCGATTACCTGCCAGTCTGCAAGTCTGCAGTCTTAGTTTGTCGCACACCGCACTTTAACGGCGAAAAACAGTTGCACAAAAGAACTAATTTTTTCTCAAGCCTACATTTTAATTAGCCTGAATTTCAGACGATTTAATACTTTAGTTTTCTCTCTGTTGCTGAAAGGACAAAACGACTCGAAGTAATCCTCTGAAATTTGCTTGCATGCATGCAAAAAGCTATCGGGTAAAATACTGATTTACATTCTGTTACAACTTTTGTTCATAAATAAATGTCTTCTTTGGCCTTGTAAAAAGACATTTTCCCTTCCTCTTTTAAATGACAATGAACAGAGGTCATCAGTGGGTGGGGGGAGGGGCGTGTAGAAAAACTGTTAACGTTTTTGTTGCGAGAAAGGATGGCATGTTCATTTGAAGTAAAACTAATTTTAACTACACGTATTTGTTTCAAAAATTCGGTCCAAACTTTTCTCCACTGATGCTCAGCGCAGGTTTTTGATAGCTGTCAAGCAAATGCCACAGTGAGTAGTTTCATCTGAAACTATTAACAACTGACTACAAAAAGTATGAAGGAAGGTTTCTTTTGGCTATTTTCAATTTTGCTCGAGCCTTATTAAAAACAAAGACAAAAATAATGGCACTTCATAAATTGAAATATTTTCCATTCATAAATAATACTAAGTACCATTCTAAAAACTGACTTATTGATGACAATTTCATTGAAAATTATTCCCACACCCACCTGTAATAACCGATCTGGTCATTCCCTTTTTCTTCATCTCTAGAACATGTATTGCATCCATAGATAAAGGATTTCCACTCACATCCAGCCTCCTCAGCTCCTTTAAGTCACCAATCTCAGAAGGCAGTTCTGTAAGTCTGTTATTATACAAGTGCAGCTTCTCAAGCTGGTGCAACTTCTGTATACTGGTAGGTAAACTAACCAACTGGTTGTTACTCACACCCAGCCTCTTGAGCTCCTTTAAGTCACCAATCTCAGAAGGCAGTTCTGTAAGTTTGTTACCAGACAAGTACAGAGTCTCAAGCTGGTTCATCTTCTGTATACTGGTAGGTAAACTAACCAACTGGTTGTTACTCACACCCAGCCTCCTCAGCTCCTTTAAGTCATCAATCTCAGAAGGCAGTTCTGTAAGTTTGTTACCAGACAAGTACAGATTCTCCAGCTGGTTCAGCTTTTGTATACTGGTAGGCAAACTAACCAACTGGTTGTTACTCACACCCAGCCTCCTCAGCTCCTTTAAGTCACCAATCTCAGAAGGCAGTTCTGTAAGTTTGTTACCAGACAAGTACAGAGTCTCAAGCTGGTTCAGCTTCTGTATACTGGTAGGTAAACTAACCAACTGGTTGTTACTCACACCCAGCCTCCTCAGCTCCTTTAAGTCACCAATCTCAGAAGGCAGTTCTGTAAGTTTGTTATCATCCAAGTACAGCCTCTCAAGCTGGTTCAACTTCTGTATACTGGTAGGTAAACTAACCAACTGGTTTCCACTTACATCCAGCCTCCACAGCTCCTTTAAGTCACCAATCTCAGAGGGCAGTTCTGTGAGTTTGTTACCATACAAGTGCAGCCCGTTAAGCTGGTCCAGCTTCTGTATACTGGTAGGTAAACTAACCAACTGGTTGTTACACACATCCAGCCACCTCAGCTCCTTTAAGTCACCAATCTCAGATGGAAGTTCTGTAAGTTTGTTATTATTCAAATTGAGCCTGATAAGATTTTTCAGCTTGTTAATACTTGTTGGTAATTCAGTCAGGTTATTGTAATTCAGCCTAAATTCCTCCACTTCAGTCAGTTCAGTGACTGCATCAGGTACCCTGGAGAGTCCTTTTCTACTTAAATCCAAACTTGCTAGTCCACCTCCACCTTTAACATAAGGTTTTAATTTTGCACTGGAATGATCCTCCATGTTTCAAATTACTAAATGAAGGCAGCCTTGCCCTTTCTTTGTAATCTAAAATGAAAATAATAAAAATAGTAATTAGCAAATAAATGTTGTAATTATTGATCACCCCTGACAGCCGTGCATCTTAAATGCAGTCGAACCTTTCTAATATGGACACCGAAGGGACAGAACGAAGTGTTCATATTAGAGAGGTGTCTGTATAAAAGAGGTCATTACGATGACATCACTTTTATTACTTTACTTACAGTTTTAAGTGTTCAGTAGCTAAAACCAGGCTTACACTCATCTTTAAACTTCATTTAAGTGTATCAATTCCCAGTACAGACACTGTCTTTCAGTAGCATACAACATTGTACATATCAGCTACGTACGTACAGTCGTAGACAAATTACTGTTTAAAAAAGAAACGAGCTACAGCGCAATGCTGCAACAGCATGTAAAAAGTTGTAACGTAAAGCACAATTCTGAAGCGTCTTTCGCTAGTTTGCAAGTGCAGTAAATAGTAACTACGTAGAGTACAAAATGTAAGAAAAAAGGTCTTTATGCTATCTGTAGTTATTCAAGCCTTAAAAAAGTCGGTCAGTATGTTCCTCTGTACACCTGTCGGAAATCGTTCAATGATATACAGCGACTGGGCTTTTGAAGTCACCTTGCATAGCTCATCTGCAAGACGGGATTCACCCTGTGCAAATTCATCTGATCGGGATTCGGGATTTACCTGATCACCGCAGTGTCCGCAATAAAGAGGTTAAGCTTGTAGGAATTTACTCTCTTGGGCCGAGATTTAGTGTCCGTTGTCCGTATTAGAGAGAGTCCGTATTGTAGAGGTTTTTTTTGAAGAAAATATATATGAGAATTTTGTCGGGACATTGGAAACTGTCCGTAATAGAGAGATATCCGTATTAGAGAGGTTCAACCGTATGTGAACTTTAAAAAATTTAAAACAAAAAGAAAACGCAATATTAATCTTAAGGTTCAGAAAGTGCATATAAATTAAACATCTTGGCAAGAGAACATTAGTAATCGTTTTTTACTAAAAAATATTTCTCCGTTTCTGGTTGGCTCAAGTCCCCTAGCCAACTCTTCGCAACCTCGTGGCACAATGCCGAAGAGCCTATCTCCGCTAGTGAAATCATTCAATTAATCAATCTTTTATTTACCCACGAGCGTCTAGTGAGCTAAAAAGCTCATTCAAAATACATATATACGTGCTAATAAAGATAGCCTAGCCTTAAAATATAGAGAATTAAACATATCTTATATATATATCCGACTGGATTTGCTAAAACGTGGCTAAGGAAATTTCAAGTGCATTTCAACAATTTGACATCTAAGAGGAATGGAAAGCAGTTAAAAGTCCTGACTAGCTCAGGCTAAACAATGACAGCATTATTGGTGGCAATAGACGGTAAAGTTCTCTCGCAGAAGTAACAGAATTTTGCGATAAAATAAACAACATTTGAAACGTCCAGAAATTGTAGTAATCTTTTAGTCAGTCAAACCGTGAGGCCCAGAGCTCAGCGTCGGCCGAAAACAGATTAAGAATCCACAATCTTTGAGCGAAGAATAGGCTTTCCAAGACAAAATTACCTAAACTAAACACTCACGAAGTGTTTTTATGCTTGGCACAAAGTATTCGGGTAACACGAGCTCAACCGCACATACCTGAGATTAGTCTGTCGACACTTTTGGTAAATGACACCATAAATGACTTTGGCGGCAATCATCCGAAAACCACTCATAATACTTCCACACTTAATACGGGCGAAACATCGTCAAATTACTCCGTAAAACTCTCCCTTTGTCCACACAAATCGTCATATGGAACTTTTCTCGACTCATTGACTGTCGATTTATTCAAGATCCCGGCTGTAAACCAGAGGTTGAAAAGGAGACATACAGCCCCCACCTTCCAAACAATTTTTGAGCTATTTTGAAAAAATAGCTCATGTGTCAGTGAGCGTATGTATCTTTGTGGCTTTGTATGTTCGGATGTTTGTTGCAAGAGCCAATAAGGTTGAAGGTACTATTAGTTGATGCTTAGGAACCAATGAGATCTTGCATCTATTTAAACATGACATTGCTAAAGGTCGAACAAGGGCATTGAGACCGCCATCTTGATTCTTCACAATTTTTTCGTCTTTTATTACGGCTACAGGTGTTTAGAAGCATTACATGAAATATCTTCATGTTTCAAACTCAGTGCACAGTGATGCAGCTGTTTAAGGGTTCATATTTTAGTGTGGATGCTGCTTCAAGACATTTCTGACCGAATTCGGCTATCGCGAACGGTACAACGCATGCACTCATTTATGAGTTTTGTTTCACCTACTTCAAGGTAGAGTATAAAAGTTCATATATTTTCAAAGCTCTTCTAATGAAACAATAATTGATATTTCGATATGGACTTCAGTTCGAAAGTATGCGGCCTATAAATTGGGGTTTTCGATGTTTGAAAGGCAGCTTATTTTTTTGGAAGTTGTACCGAGTATTGTTAATCCCGTAAACAAGCTTTATTCTGTCGCTTACAAAGTTCAACAGACTTTTTTCCTTCTGGCAATTAAAACATGAATAAGTGAACAACATGATACATCCTTCCTACTTACTAAGTATTATAGTTATTGAAACGTATTTCATTTAGTAAAGAAGCGTAACTTAAGCCTGGTTTCCATATGATTGCTAGGATCATACGGATCATATTCAGCGATCGCAGCGATCATAAGGAAACCACTTTCCCGCGATCGTAGCGATCGCAGCGATAAAAGCGATAACGATCGCTGAGCTAGATATAAAAAGTCCTATCTCAGTGATCGTTGTCGCTGCGATCGCTGGGAAAGTGGTTTCCATGTGATCGCTATGATCACTGCGATCGCTGAACTTTTTTTTTTCTCTCAGCGATCACAGCGATCGTAGCGACCATATAGAAACCAGGCTTTAAGTAGAAGCAGTTGCGTTAGGGAATAAAATTGGAAGAAGCTAGTTGACACTAATTAGATCCCATTAGATATCGTTTTATTGAGCGGAATAATATGATATGAGTAGTCGGCAGTTTGATAATTTCCTTGGAAGGAAATGAATGTTAGGCTATCAACCTTAAGGTTGACTGAAGCGTAATTTAATTGCAGTTACATGTATTGTTAAGCCGAGGTGATTTTTTAAAATCGTTTTAAGAAATTTTCTTGTAAACAATTTGAGTTGTTTTAGGTACGAATTGGAAAAGGAACAAAGTCCAACATCTTCACGTGCAAATTGAGTTTATTTTTGTAATTCTGTTTACTGGATTACTGTGTGATAACTCGAATTCCCTCACGCACGAACCACGAAAGGGGCAAAGTCCGACACTTTTAGGTGCAAACTGTGTGATTCTACATCTCATGCTGGCTTTTCACAGTAATAATAGTAACTTGAACGTATGAAGACATCTGTAGTTTTGTAATTAGTGCCTAAGCAAACTGGGCTCTTTTCTTTTAAGAAGCAAAAACTCATAACACTCTTAGAATTAAATAAGTGGTCAGACTTAAATACTGTTTCATTAAAGTAGAATCGCACGTGATACAGAACAAACGCCACTGAATCGTAGCCAACAGTTACCAGCGCCGTACAAACGACTTATTGACGAGATCAAGCAAAACTAACTACGAGAGAACAACTGGAGAACTGACAATTTGACTAACAATAGACGACTGTTTAACTGTGACAATAGACGGATCGAAACGCACCAATCACTGATTACGAGTCTTCATAGCCAATAAAATCACGGCTTAACTGACAGACGACCAATCTTGACCAATCAGATCAATAACCAGAGTATAATACCATCAACTGACGTGATACAACTCACTTTGACTCTGAAGATGACTACCGCACAGGTTGTCGAAACGTCAGTCACTGTCAACAACAACAGTCCTATTCAGGACTACGTTCACCCGGACGATCAAACTCAACCTACTTTTGAAATGGCTCCTGGGTTCAAACCTTTCACAATGATGAAAATCTTAGCTATTAGGTATTCGACGACCTTCATTATTTTACGAAACCATGAAGAAACCTTGACTTCGAGTCTTCCCTCTAAGCAACGTTTGGTGAGTTGATATTGATAGTACGTTAAAAAATTGTTTATTTTGCACCAGATGTCTGAAGAAAAGACAAAGAAAAGTGAATTTGTCAGATCGAATCAGCTATGCGCTGCGGTTCTCGTTTTCATTAATGCACAGCAATACCCAATTTCGCACAAAACATAGCCTTAATTTAGGATTAAGACAGTAGATTGCCGATACTGTTACACTGAAGCATTCAAAATAGCTCATGCACGTAAAACGCGCCTATGTTTTACGAAGTCTTTGGCCTCGTCAGAAATCAGCGTCAATTTCCATCTCGCCGAATAGATTTCATCCCTAGAACCTACTTAGGGAGGCCAACAACTGCCAACAACAAAGCTCGCGATATCCAATCTTTCAGTCTCAAGCCCGGGATCAGTCTTTCACCCGTGTAGCCCCGTGTAAATGAGACGAAATACGAGAAGATATTGGAAGCAGCAGACTTTGCCAGTCGTGAGAATTGTTCCTTCATAAGGCTTAACGATGCCTTCCAGAAAATTTTGCTCAAGGCAGCCGAAAAAACTCTTATTTCAAACTGACATACAGGGAGAATTATGGGAAGTTATGAGAAACTCTTTTGGGTGGAAGGGGGGAAGGTTAATAGCCAGTGAAAAACTCATCAAAGTCTATCTACTGTAGCCTGCAGCTTATTCGGTATCGATTAAATAAATAAAAGGTGACTATAAAAGAAAAAAAGAAAAGAAAGAAAAAAAAAAGAAACATGCTCCACTACAAGGCTCGGTCAGAAGGTATATAAGAGGGATTTCTATAGGCATGTTTTTGTAAATCCAGTCAGATATATATTTAACAATTATTCGCCGAAGGCGAAGTTCATATTGTAAAATATTATATTTGTAAAAGGACAGCTTTTTTACAAAAATATATTTTGTAAAAAAAACGGTCATA